ACTAATCGCCCCTTCTCCCCGCATCTTTTCAGTTTTACCAGTAAAAGTCGTTGACAGAGTTCAGGTTGAAAGCGGGGGATACGCCTGGTCATGTCTCCCGTGTCTCTTCGCTCTCCTGCCCTGCTTCTTATCTCCTTTTATCACGTCCTCTTAGTACTGTTGTGATATTTGTATTTTTCCCATATCCTTCCTTTCTCGCTGTTAATTCAGTATTTCTGGGCCAAGTTTTGTGGTTTTTAGGTGTAATCCCAGCGTTTTCTAGATCTTTTTTTTTTGCGGGGGTGGGGAGGGGGTCTTCTTCAGTCAGATTTAGCGTTCTTCGGAAAAATTTTACTTTTCGTGCTAAATTTTGCTTTCCGCGGCTTGATTTTTGCCTGAAACACTCCCCTTTTTTATGCGGTTTTTGCAGCTATGTGATGCAGAAAACGCATATTGACGAGAGGTTGTCTGTGTGTGTGTGTATTCATCTGTATCGATTTTTCATCTCGATACCGGCAAAAGCTACAGGGCTGAAACTTTGGGGACATAATCTACATGCACGTACGGGCCCTAATCCCCGAAATGGGCGGTCTTGCCCGCGTGGTACCCACGTGAGAGCTCGCCAAAATTTTTCTCAGGTAAGTTGATAACTCACGAACCAGAAAAGCTAGAAGGCTGAAGTTTTAAGGGGATATCCCCCATCCAAGTATTAATGAGCTGAAACTCACCCCGCTGGTAGGTGTGGTACCCGCGTACGGGCCCGCCAAAGTTTTCCTGGGTAAGTTCATAACGCGGAGATCTGAGATGCTAAAAAGCTGAAATCTTAGAGTGATGTTCCCCGTCCAAGTAGGTATTAATGAGCTCAAACCCAACCCTCGAATAAGAGTGGTACCCGCATACGGGACCGCCAAAATTTTTTCGAGTAGGTTGATAACTCGAATACCTGAGAAGCTGGACTGTAATTTTAAGAGGATATATCCCGTCCACCTAAGTTTCATTCAGCTCAAACCCAACTCTCGGGTATGCGTGGCAAGCACACGTGGGCCTATAAGTTGTTTGCTCAGGAGCTAGAGAAGCTAGAAAGCTGAAATTTTAAGGGGGTGTTTCCTGACAGTTCTAACGGCCAGGCTTAATTTGTTTAGCAAGAAGCATTTGCCGAAAAAGTCGGTGCCGGTAGCAACAAAAACTGCAAGGAACTATGCAAAAAACGCATTTTCGCGCGGACAACCCGTGCGTTGGCCAATTATTTGCATTTTGTTTCACAGTAGCGTTTTTGACGTCTTATCGGAGAAGGAGGTATTGCTGCTGTTTAGTATTAAAAAGTGCGCAAATGTTATGAATTTTTTTGAGGCAAATATGCTCAAAGTGCCAATTTTCATGGGTTTGCGTTGCGGGATCAGTTACGTGATCTACGTCTTTTGCTTAAAATAACTTTCATTTTAGATTATCACAGAGGTTCGTGGAACAATGATTCGAAGTGCATCAGGCTTCTGTCGTTCGGCGAATGTCGTTAGCCAGATGGTACGC